TTATAAAGTGTGGGTAATTCTGCTGATGTGCTCAGGGTAAAAGTTAATCAGACAAACAGTTTGTGAAGCAACACTTTTCTTTTTATAGCTGTTTAATGTGTTTTATTGACAGGAATAGATAACTCGGACTTGAACTGAAAATGTTTTATTTTCAAACTGACAGTTTTGTGTACAATAAATTCCTTTCTTCAGTGTTTAATGTCTGCCTTGTTTTCATTATTGGATTACATCCAAGCTGCCTTTTGGAAATCACAAGTCAGAAACTTTATGTCCTACAGTAGAGACCGAAGCTTATAGAAAACAATTGCTTTCAAAACACAAAGGTCATGTGACTGTGACAAAATCTGAAGTTTTGGTGCACTTCACCCCAGTTCCAACAGGTGGCGTACCTGCTGCTTCAAGGTACTGCCAGGTGCCAGAATTCACATTTTTATCAACCGGAGTGATTTGTAATAAAGATTTGTTTTAGATACTACCGCTTTAATTTATTAAATGTGCATGTGTAAAAGAAAACAATACCCTCTCTCTGACCTGGATTTAAAGTGTAATCAAATAAATATTATATAGATAAATATTCTACTCGAATAATTACTGGCATACAGATGGGAGAAGGCAAGATACTGCTGGGTGAGCTCATATATGCACTTGTATAAGCAGAGAGAGAGTGGCACACTGAGGACACCATCATGTACCTGCTCAATCGTGTCTACACCCATCTGGACCAGCTCTCTACCCTCTACACCACGGACTTCAGCCACTGCACAGAGACCTGCCATCTTCAGAAGTTTTCTGATGACTCTGTGGTGGTTGGATACATGGGTGATGAGAGGGAGGCTGTGAGTAAGTCCTTTGTCACATGGTGCAAGCAGAATCCTTTGCAGCTCAATGTGACAAAGACCAAAGACTTGATTGTAGGGGTCCTCAGGAAGTACAAACTGGACTCCAACCTGCTGCTGACCTTCTACTGCTCGTCCATTGAGAGCCAGCTGACATACTGCATCACAGCATGTTATGATAGTTGCACTAAGGCGGATAGAGGAGTAGTCAAGGCAACACATAATGACCTGTGGCCCTTTCCCCTCCCTGATGGACATCTATTCCTTCTGCTGCCTCAACAGAGCAACAAACATCATCAAGGACAGCTCCCACCCAGGTTTTGACCTGTTCAACCTGCTTCCCTCAAGAAAG